AATACATATTTACTTTTATAAGACCTTCGATCAACTTTAACTACATTGACAATTTATTATAACTTGATATATTCCTCTTAAATTATACATAAAGCTTTCCCCAACACTAAACTAAGCCTGAAACTAACAATATTGACAATATATTTACATTCATTTAAATTCATTTCCATAGTAAACAAATCCAGGGTTGTTCTTTTTGCAAATTAGATATAATTGTTTATCAATTAAAACTTGTTTGTTGCCGGATATATACAGTATTATAATTATGGTTACAACGTTTCACCAGGTTGTTGTACCTAACGATGCCAGGTTAAACTGGTGAAACGTTGTAACCATAAACTTTATACTCTACATATCCGACATTAAACAAGTTTTAAGTTTCACATAACGTTACTTCCTCTAATTAAATATTCTTTATCATTGAATTAACTGTGCTGATTTAAGATATATAACGGTTTTTAATTCATTGTGAATGTGAATTTGGTGTCTATAATATTCTAGCATATTTTTACTTACCAGTAGAACTCTATTTTATAGATCACAGGGACAGTTTTAGTATATATATATAGACTTTTAATAAATATAAAAATACGACTATTTTTAGTTCTTGCTAGAAATAAATATAAGCTGAACTTAATTATTTTCTCCTCGAATCAGTTCAAATACGCTGACTTTTGAATATATTTTAATTTCCTGTTAAGCTTTAAATGCATTTTAATATCTTATTAACCCTTCCGCCAGCGGGTAAAGGGGAAGCTTATGGATTTACAATGCCAAAATCCGGGGCTCGATTCCCCAAGGTGGAAGAAGTGCACATAGCTTTGCACGACAAAACAAAATATAAGAAACAGCCTCCTGGGCTATCAGGAGTTATTATGGGACCAGTAACTAATTATAATATGGATCTCAATGAAAAACGTATCAAAAGAAAATTTAATATTAAAGGATTACAGGTATTATTTCTAACCACAGCAACCATAGTATGGGTCGTCATTTGGTGATTTATCTATTTTACTTGGGTTCGTTTTACATTAATATATTTTAACATTGTTTACTGTACAGTCTATAACCACCTCAGCTGCTGTGTTTTGAAAGGAAAAACAAACTAAAAACACGAATATTCACTTCAAAAATTCTTTTGAACAAAATTTGACAGAGCGCTTAATTAGCGTCTATAGATCTGAATTCGTTTCCTGAGATTCCTCGTAGTTGGAAGGTCTCTTGAATGTTTTGCCAACTTTTAAAGTTGCCACCAATATTGACTTGATATAATTAGAAATATATACGTATTTATCAGAATATAAGTTTCACAAAAAATATTTCTCACTTGTGAAGGACAAAACATTTAGTTTCTGATTTCATAAGTGTCTCAACATGTATAATACGTGTTTTTACCTGTCTGTTGTTTCTGGTCATTTTCAGAAAGATATGTTTAGTGCACCAGGGGAAAACGTACATGTTTAGTGCAACAGGGACAAACGTACATGTTTAGTGCACAAGGGACAGACGTACATTTTTAGTGCAACAAGGGCAAACGTACATAAGCACAACTAATCAAACTTGATTTCTTAAATTCTTGATTCTTCAGGACTCTGTGTTGTTTAAAAGTTTTTTTAGTCTACTTATTGGGATGAACTTTACAGGCCTGGTTGTTAAAGCGCTCGACTTGCAATCTTCAGCTCGGGGATTCGAATCTCCGTTACACCAAATATGGGATTTATATTGTGACTATCAGTCCCACTACTTGTTGATAAAAGAGATCCAGGAATTACCGGTGGACAGTGAGGATTAGCTGTCTTCTCTCTTGTCTTTCACTCTTAATTAGGGACGGCTAGTACAGAAAGCTCTCGTGTAGCCTTGAGCTAAATGCAAAATAAATATTCAATTTTAGTTACCACCAGAGATATTAACAGCATCTGTTTCGTATATTAACTTATTTCAATATGCACTCTAGGATCGTTCACTTAAAATCAGTAACAACCACAGTAAAATGGCCGCGAATTTTTTAAGGGGTTTTTAATACTGTTATTTAACTATTGGTGAAGTCGATCATTTTGTCATCTTTCTCGTACGTGTAATTTGTAAGTCACTTAAATAAATAGTTAATGATAAATATTGAACAGGTTTCAATATGCCAGTTATGTCGTGTGGTATGTAATTCATGTTTAAATGTATATTCATATTTACATTGTTATTTTTGAATGCAAATAACTAACTTCATAGAAACAGCGGAGGTGGATATGGTGGAGGTGGATTCGGAGGAGGATATGGTGGAGGTGGATTCGGAGGTGGATATGGTGGTGGAGGAGGTGTCCTTTTTGCCATCCCTATTAGCGTGGCTAGCGTTGGTGTAGGAGGAGGATTTGGTGGTTTTGGTGGAAGGGGTGGATTTGGAGGTTTTGGAGGACGGGGAGGATACGGTGGTGGAGGTGGCAAATGGTGGTGGTAGAGGTGAGAATATTAGAATATTAGACAAGAAAAATTTGTTAATGTTATTGTTATATCAACATACATCAAAGTTTCTGTTGGTGTGTTATGTTTTGTTGTATTTTAAAATTTATGGTTGTATTTTCTGCAGGATTTATGAGACTGAAGCGGTACTGATGAAGAACTGTGAACTTCCTACATGAAGAATTTATTAACTTGACGAAGAGTCTGATACGAAACACGGACGAACTTGTTCTGAACTTGTCTATTTAATAAATATATATTTTAGAGTGTACAGAGTTTCATAGATATAAATAAAACTGAGTTGTGAATTTAACATTCCCTGTTCTCAATTTATAAGAAAATACTAAACTAATCTCACTATACACTGAAGATGATAGTAATAAATTCACTTATTTAACAAAATTACACAGTTTTTGACCAAAACAAAGTTTCAACAATCTGTGCTCCTGCTTTAAATTTCTATTAATACATATCCACCTCCACCATATCCTGTAGCTTCAGCTTTTAGATCATCAGCTTTGTCAGCATTTGGTTTGTCTTCAGCAAAAGCTGTCAGAAGCAGAAGACTGAGGGAAAAGACTGTAAAAACCTGGTGGTGGAACACACAAAAATACGATACCTTATTTACTTTAATGATAGTTATTATTTGAATATACTTTTCAGTCTTGCAAAATATTCTTGTTCGAATAATGTTGTAATTTTGATGACATTTTATTAAAATTGAGATTTTTAGTGTTTGACTAAAATATTCGCCCTTTTATTTTGTTCAATTCAAACTTCAGAAAGTATTTTGGTGTTCATTCTATACACGTATGAAATACATGAAATAATATTACTAAAGTAACGTCTACCACATTCACCGTAGGACATTAATCTCTATTGCCTGCTTACCTTATTGGAGTGCATTGTTGGGTCTTGCAATGTCTTGTTCTGACTTCAGAAAGATTTGGTGCCTTATATATATATACATACACGATGTTCAGATACTTCATCCGTAACAAAGTGCAATTAATGTTTTGTTTGTGTGATAGAGGATCCAGGCAGTTTTCCATTTTATTATTACAAAAAAGTAAACCTGTTTTGTATATTAAAAACTAATATAGTAATAGCTTAAAATAAATTATAAAAAATATTGAGATAAAACAAGAAAAACATCTTATTTTTTCGGAAGAAAGTAATTTTGTCAAATTGACTTATGCACTTTAATATAAAATTCTGTTACAATTTTTCCAGTAGTAAATATAATCAAAATTCACTCAGACCAATCAGGCCAAGAATATTGACTTTAACGTCGTCTTTGAGTTTCCTTTGAGTTTTATATTTTCGTGCTTTAAATTCCAACATTACTGTTTTAAACTGAACGGAGAATCGGCGTTTATTGAAATTATTAAACTGTTCATATTTTTATAATTTTATCGGACGGACTTCAATTGTTTCTGCAATTAGATTATCAACTCAAAAGAGATAAAAATCAATAATATTTTATCTTTAATAATTTATTATCTAATCTACTAGTTAAACTTTATGTTTCTGGTTAGATAATCTTAATATCCATAACATGTCCTTGATAAAGGTAATGAAAAGCTTCTCGAATGATAAATAAGCCACGTTGAAAGATGAGAAAAACTGTTAACCACATCATGCGTAATGATAGAAAACTGTTACATGATATCTGTAATCCAGATGTCAGAAATCTCTAAATATCTAGTAATTACTCAACACAAACAAAGTATAAAAAAATACGTTGAACTTTAAACTTTCTAGCATGGAAAGTTCAGAGAGGGCAAGTGTCATCAAGATAACGAGAACAAACTGTCTGTCCAAAACTGACCCCCAAATCTTACAAAACATTGAACAGATCTAACCCTAATTATTCCTTATTTTATCAAAACACTTAAAGATAAAGGTGTATTCCGAAAACAATGTTACATGTCTTCAAAATGACTCTATGAAGTTTCCAAATTGATATTGTGACTAATTACAATAAAAAAAATAACTATACTGGCATCACGTGAATAATTTAACATGTTCATATTTAGATGTGTCGAATATATTGCTGTATTTGTTTGTTTGAATTTATGCACAAAGCTACACAATGGGTTATCTGTGCTCTGCCCACCATGGGTATCGAAATCAGGTTTCTAGCGTTGTAATTCCGCAGACATACCGCTGTGCCACTGGGGAGCATATTGTTGTGATAACTATAGTAAAATATTTTTACCTGATATTTATATACCCCAAGTGGCACAGCGGTATTTCTGCGGACTTCTAACGCTAGAGAACGGGTTTTGATAGACGTGGTGGGCAGAGCACAGACAGCCCATTGTGTACCTGGGTGCTTAACTATAACCAAACAAACAAACAAAACAGATATTAAATTTTTTTGAAATATTGTTTTAAGTGATATATATATACATATTTATGATAAAACTATATATATATACATAAAAGTTCTCTGAACTACTCAACAACAGGGTTAACAAAGTTCTCTGCACTACGCAACAACAGGGTTAACAAAGTTCTCTGCACTACTCAACAACAGGGTTAACAAAGTTCTCTGCACTACGCAACAACAGGGCTAACAAAGTTTTCTGCACTACTCAACGACGGGTTAACATAGTTCTCTGCACTACTCAACGACGGGTTAACATAGTTCTCTGCACTACTCAACGACAGGGTTAAATAATTCTCTGCACTACTCAACGACAGGGTTAATATAGTTCTCTGCACTACTCAACGACAGGGTTAACATATTCTCTGCACTACTCAACAACAGGGTTAACATAGTTCTCTGCACTACTCAACAACAGAATATAGAAACAAATGACCACAATATATACTCCAAGAGAAGTGAGTTTCATAATTCATTGAGTAGACAATAATCTAAACTAATGTAATTAGGACCTTTTGCTATCACAACAGAAACCGGTATCCAGAGTGTAAAAAGACAATCTTTAAAAAATCTGCATCTGATTTTCAACATGAAAGTACCATTTTATTTATAATGTTTGAGAATAATAGAGTGACCCAACAGTGTCAGATGGAGCAAATGATGTAAAGAAAAGCTATCAATTTTACGTTACCATTAGGTACTTATTTTGGAAGAAACTACCGTAGAGAGAATAATAACAAAAGTTTTGTTAAGATTTTACTAAATATTAGTCTACAAAAGTGATTACTTGAAAATCTGTACTCCTCGTGAGAAAAAAAGCATTAGTGAAATGACCTCTAAAAAACTGTAAAAACTCGACCATCTCTCGACCTGACGTCGTACATAGTTTGTGTTCCGTGTAACTGACTTCCCACGTTTTTTGTTCCAATTGTTTATGCTAAGGATGACTCATTTATGAGGTTAACCTGTTAAAATTCCTGAAACACTAGTGTATTTTTATGAAAAAATGTACCAGTCGAAAACATGTTACTTAAAACGTTCAAAAACAAGATGCTTATACAAGGTTGGGCAAAAGTAGGTATACAGTTGTTACATTTAGAACGTAGCACACTTTCAGTTGTTAAATTTAGAACGTAGCACATTTTTCAGTTGTTACATTTAGAACGTAGCATATTTTCAGTCGTTAAATTTAGAACGTAGCACATTTTCAGTTGTTAACTTTAGAACGTAGCACTTTTTTCGGTTGTTAAATTTAGAACGTAGCACATTTTCAGTTGTTACATTTAGAACGTAGCACATTTTTCAGTTGTTAAATTTAGAACGTAGCATATTTTCAGTTGTTAAATTTATAACGTAGTACACTTTCAGTTGTTAAATTTAGAACGTAGCACATTTTTCAGTTGTTAAATTTAGAACGTAGCATATTTTCAGTTGTTAAATTTAGAACGTAGCACATTTTCAGTTGTTAAATTTAGAACGTAGCACATTTTTCAGTTGTTACATTTAGTAATTCTATATGATTTTTTCATATACGTTTTTATTGGAGAATGTAAAATGGCGTTCACATTATGTTTTGTTACAATATACGAAGTTATTTTTCTTTAAAATACGGTTTTATACATCCAACCGTATTTTGATCCGCATATTATGTCTTTCTAATTGTTAAATGTAGTTTACGAAGGTCCAGAGTTAAGCATTTCCTGCTGTCTGGGAGTATTATAAGTTGAAATAGGTCTTACTGTCTGAACTACAACTTACCCTAAATAGAAATATTTTCAAACAAACACCTGCTTTAATTTTAGCATATATCAAGTGCTTTAATTTTAGAATATATCAAGTGCTTTAATTTTAGGATATATCAAGTGCTTTAATTTCCAAAAAAAAAATTTGTTTTTACGAAGGTTGTTGTGTGATGCCTTCTGACGACAAATAAAGAAATAAATATCAAACTTTCTCTGGAACCTATATTGATGTTTAAATGGTTAATGACGATATTTTAAGCTATTTTAACAAAACACTTAGGATAAGTGAAGAAAATGGCATGAAAGGAAAATTTTTGATATATTCTAAAATTAAAGCACTTGATATTTCCCAAAATTAAAGCACTTGATATATTCTAAAATTAAAACCCTTGATATATCCCAAAATTAAAACACTTTATATATTTTAAAATTAAAACCATTGATGTATCCCAAAATTAAAACACTTGATATATCTAAAATTAAAGCACTTGATATATTCTAAAATTAAAGCACTTGATATATCCTAAAATTAAAGCACTTGATATATTCTAAAATTAAAGTAAATCACTTGATATATCCTAAAATTAAAGCACTTGATATATGCTAAAATTAAAGCACTTGATATATTCTAAAATTAAAGCACTTGATATATCCTAAAATTAAAGCACTTGATATATCCTAAAATTAAAGCACTTGATATATCCTAAAATTAAAGCACTTGATAT